CGGGTCTCGAGCGGATGAACGTTGGCAGCAGTCACGGGCTCTTGCGGGTGCGCGTCGAGCGCTGGTGATACGAAATTGGTTATTAACCCCGGTGAGTCAAGTGACGGGATGGTTGAGGATCTCGATATGTGGTTGGAAAACATGCTGGAGGAGCCATCTAGTCCGATTTCTCGTCCTTCATGTGTGAGAGATTGGCCAAAGGGATGTGGTCCAAGGTTGAAGTTAAAGGCTAGGAAACGCAAGGCCAAGAGACAACGCAAGGCAAAGGCTAAGAAGGCGAGTTGTTGGTGTGGGCCTTGTGCAAGAAAGAAGCGAGCATTGAAGATGGAGGCTAGAAGAAAGGGAGTACAAAGGATGGAAGATGGTTGGATATGGCGTGCTGGAGATTGCATTGGGTTGGAAGGTTGGGACCCATGGGACGAGCTAGGACCATCGGGCGAGCAGTCGAGGTCGAACGACGATGAAGAGGCAAACACGAGCGAATGGCGCGCATCGTCCCTTGATGCGCGCGATAGGAAGGGGCGTACACGGACAGCGTCGGGCGTACGCGGATGCGCGGTGGAGGATTGGGGCATCGGCGTAGGCGGGACGCGCTGGGTGATCGCAGGGCACAATGACGATGGCGAGATGGCGGGCGTGCGCGGCACTCGCGAAGGTGGCGAGGACGCGCAGCAGTTGGGCTGCAAATGCGGGGCGCGCGCGAGGCGCGCGAGTGAAGGGGACGCGGGCGATGTCCTAAGTCGAACGGGTGAAGGAGTGCTGGGGGTTGACGCACACGCGCGGGAGATGGATGACGAACGCTGGGAGCGCGTGATGAAGATCGCGTGTCCCGACTGCCGATAAGCCGCTAGCCCACGCCTTGAATCGCCGATAGGTGTTCTTCGAGCCACAATAGCGCCTCTTGGAACGAATAAAATTGCAATCGAATTTTGGTGAAAAACTAAAGCAAAGTGGAAGAACAAAAGTTCAGATTTCTATTCATAAAATTAATGATAAAAAATAACATGGGGGATGGCCTTTATATAGGCACCAAGTATATCTAGTCCTAATCTACCTGGTGAACTAATAAAGCAATAAAATATTAACTCGCCTAATTAATCTAGATCTCATAATGCAAGATTGAAACTACTAGCTTGGCTTGCACTCCAAGTATCTCTCTCTTTCTCTCATGCGATCGGCCGCCTCACTTAGCATCGCCCACGCGCCCTCGCCCTAGTCCTCAAGGACTAGGGCCGCCGACCTTGCCAGCGCGTGTTCGCAACCCACGCTTGCCGCGCACGCCTGCGCGCTGGCGCCGCCTTCGCGCGCGTCCCCACACGCCAGCCCCAAGTTGTCGCACTCCTCGAGGATTGAGGTTTTGCGTCCCGCGCGTGCGCCTCCATCCGTCGTGTTGTGCTCGGCATCGCTGCTAGCCGCCTTCTCATGCACGTCGCTCCCCGCCTGTTCGCTTCCACTAGGCGTAAGGATTCGCGCCCAGCGCGTGCCTGCTCGCCATGCGCGCTTCACGCGCCCTGATCTTTCGTCTGTGTCACGCGCGCGTCTCCGTCAGCTGCCCGCGCCATCGTTTTGCCTACCGCTCGAAAATTCGTGCATATGTTATTTTTTCTTGCATCGCGCGCACTACATTCCAGTGCGCGCACTTCCGCCGTTTCCCGCGCTAGCCTTCTTCGTGCATGGTAGGCGCAACTTGCGGCGTTCTTGAGATGCCTAGCCACTTCCGCATCATTCCCGTGCCCTTCAAACGATTCCTTGTCCTCAAAGATGAAACTTGGGAATTGATCGCGCATCTCATCAAGGTCTTCCCACGTGGCTTTTTCAGGTGGTAGCTCTTCCCAGTCAACTAGCACCTCCCAGCGGTAGCGCCCTGCTTTCCTTACCTTGCGATACTCGATCGCTCGTTTTGGGCGCACAATGGCTCTCCCGTCGGTCGCGGTTGAATGTAACTCTTCACAATATTTGTTTTCTTCCCCTAGGCTTCTCTTGATCTGTGAGACATGAAACTGGATGGATCTGCGAACTTTCCGGCAATTCTAGGCGATAAGCTACCAGACTAATGCGCTTCAGAATCTGATAAGGCCCATAGTAGCGCACTCCCAACTTAGTTGCTGCTCTCTGTGCCGTCGTGCGCTGTCTGAATGGCCGTAGCTTCAAGTAGACATATTCGCCTGGTGCGTAATTCTCTTCTCGTCGCTTTCCATCTACAAAGGCTTTGGTTCGATTTATTGATCCTTCGAGATTCTTCTTCAACTCTCGCAACATCAAATCTCGCTCCTCGTGTAATATCCCGTCATGTTAAGTATATAAATCATGCATTTAGTTCGGATATAATAATATTGTCGAGTATTATTTTTCGGAATTAATTATTTCAGTCGAGATTACCTGAAATTATTTTCGAAGTCACGTTTACGTTCAGAATAATTTTGGTAATTAGTATCATGTTTAGTAATTAATTAAGCATAAAGATTATGCTTAATTAGTAATTAATTATGTTTAGTAAATAAAAACCGTAGCACTTGAGATTTTGGCTCAAATTTTTTTTAAGAAATGTCGTGAGCATTTTAAGGTTAATTGAGGGAGATTTGTCTCCATTTCCTTAAGCATGAGGTGTCAAGTATTGGAGCCATTAACTCATGACTAAGCTTATAAATTGATTAGTTAGCATCCTAAGCTCCTAAGGTTAGCATGTGGCATAAAAATGTTAAGCCACCAAGCCTCCACCTCCCCATTTTGTTCGGTCATGTATATAAAGCATATGTTGGGGGAGAATTTTGCTCCTGCCACCTAAGTATATGTGTGTTAAGTATACAGAGAGTTAGTGAGAATTTTCCCTTAGTCTAAGAGAGTACCGCACGCAAGCTTAGCCGCAAGACACAAGCGCCGAGAGTCGCACGCACGGTGTAGCACGCACACACGCACGGAGGCACGAACTCCGAGTGATCACAAGCAGTTGGTGCGATCAGCCGAGCGTTCGAGAGGTAACCTCAGTTTACTTTTGGTTGGTCTTGCTAAAGCCATGATTAGATCGGTTTGGTTAAGACAAGTTCATAAGTTAGCCATATATTGCTTCCGGCTGTGCGTATAGTCACGTCGAGCATGTTCATGTTTTGATTCAAATCTCTCGAACAATTATCATGTATTCCATCAATTTATATCAATTCATGTTATTTAAGTTAACTTGGTCGAGAGACTTTCAAGATTTTATCGGTGAGTTGGTCGAGGAGCGTGGTCGCGCACGTAGCGCCTACCACGGGCCGTACATGCGTAGAGGTTATGTTAAGTAGTAGCTCTTCGAGCAATTCATGTCAATTTGTCCAGTAAATGTTATTCTTGGTCAGTTATGTGTTACTTGCCCAAAAAAAATCATGTTTGGTCGAGAAGCGGCTTAACGCCGTAGGCGGCGCACGGTGCGCACGCCGCCGGCCACTTTAACATATTGGGCAAAAATTCATGATTTTGAGTGTTTTCAGTAGATTTGATCATGTCAATTCATTTCAGGTTATTTTATGTTGAGTTGCTCGAGAGAAATCGCCGAACGACCGGCAAGGGCTGGTCGTGGTCGCGCTGCCCATACACAACGGCAGCAGAGCGCCGGCAGTCAGTGATGCGGAAGTGGCTAGGCAACTCAATAACGCCGCGAGTCGCGCGTACCACGCACGTAGGAGGTTGGCACGGGAAGCAGCAGAAGTGCGCACACTGGAAAGTAGTGCACGCGGGACAAGCAAAGATGGCCAGCGCACGGGTGTTCGGACGATGGGTGCAGCGGGCACACGCCACGGACGGGCATTGGGCGCGACAAGTACAGGCGTAGGCGTAGCGCGCGGCAGCAGTACGTGCGCAACAAACGAAGCGATGGGCGTAAGCGCTGACGGGATGTGGGCGATTGGCGGTGACGCGCGCGCAACAGGGATGGACAAGCGGGGCGAGCGGAGCGTGCATGACGAGCAGACACGCGCGGAGCTGGATGCCGCATACCTTGAGGAATGCAGAAAGGCGGAAGACCACGCGCGCGGTGAGGGCGCGATGGGCGCGGGCGTGCGCAATATGCCGGATGAGCATGCACGCGCAAAAGGCGATTCCCTAGTCCTCAAGGACTAGGGCCGATGAAGGCGGCACGCAAGTGAGGCGGCGCAAGACCGCGGGCGAGAGGGAGAATAAGAGAGAGGAGGAAAACTTGGAGTGCACACCAAGAGATTGAGTTTCCATCTAGCTTTGTGATTTCTAGCTTATTTAGGATTCCTAATATTTTATTGCTTTATTATTTTCCTAGGTAGATGAGGCTTAGAAAAATCTTGTGCCTATATAAAGGCCCTTACCCTATGTTATTTTTATTCATTCAAGAAGTCAATAGAAATCTAGAACTTTGTTCTTCCAATTTTGCTTTAGTCTTTTCACCAGAATACTATTGCAATTTTATTCGTTTCAATAGGCGCGGTTGTGGCTAGAGAAACACTATCGGCGATTCAAGGCGCGGGTTAGCGGCTTATCGGCACTCGAAATACACGATCCTCATCATTGGTGCTTTCATTGAGAGGTGTTGATCATGTGTTTTTCTTGTACCCCATTCCCTTTCTTTTTCTTTTTCATTTTTTCGTCCCCCTTTAAAAATATATATATATATATATTTCCGTTCATCATCATCATCATCATCTTCAACAACGAGTCCACAAAGCAAAGAGCGAAGAGAAGAAAGAAAAGCCATGGCCAACAAAGAGATGAAGGATAAGATCAACAATCTTGACACCCAGATGCGAAGTATGAGCGAGGTTATGGAAGGAAGGCTTGGATCGCTTGACGAAAGTCAAAACAACACCAACGCCGTTGTCACACGACTTGAACAGCGATTAGAGGAAGTCTTGCGCGCGTTCCAGCAGCAACCTCCACATCATCGCGACGATCCCCCAAGGCGCCAACCGCGCCAACACGCCGAGCATGCCGAACACACACCATCCCCACGACGCGAGGATCGACGCGAGCGACAGCGCGTGCGCGAACATGACGAGGACCGGCGACGCGAGGGTTACGAGCACGAGGAGGAGTTTGACCAGCGGTCGCAGGCATCCACCTACCGTGAACGGCCAAAGCCGGACAAGCCGAGGTTCGTAATGTCCATCTTCACAGGTAGTGATCCAGAGGCGTGGCTCAATCGTATTGCGCAATATTTTGAACTGAATGAAACAGACGGCCACGATCGAGTAAGGTACGCAGCATTCTATTTGGATGGAGAGGCCAACGTATGGTGGCAGTGGCTCTCAAGGATCTATCGTAGGCGGCAACATGTCATTACATGGGCTGACTTTGAGAGAGAATTGCTCACACGTTTTGGTACGTCCGATTACCATAACTACAATGAGGCCCTCGCACGAATACGACAGACATGCAATTTGCGTGAATATATCAAGGAGTTTGAACGACTAGCCTGTCGCGTACGAGATTGGTCTGAGGATGCGCTAGTAGGAGCCTTCATAGGTGGGCTGAGATTCGATCTAGCCGCAGAAGTCCGACTAGAGCGACCAGATACGATGCATATGTTGGAACCCACGAGGATCTCGATATGCACAAATCACAGACAAACATTCAACATAAACCTATGCGCAGCGGATCTAAAGGTTTGATGAAGAAAACTTACTGCTTAAAATTTATGTAGATCTGGCTGGCCCGGACAGTTGACCGCAAATAAAATCTTCTCGGAATCGAACAAACTTGACCAATCCAGAAAGCTGACGTCACGGCGAAGTCAACGGCGTTGACCGATCGGAAATCGGAGGTCACACGCTCTCTCACGCGCCGGTGCAAGCTC